TAGGGTAATAATGACCAGCATTTTTGTTTTTAACCTTAATCATATCCAACTTCATTTGCATTTTTAATTTGCTAGCCACGTACATGATTGTGTTGACATATAACTGCTACATTCAGGGAGAGTGTTATAGAGTTATCAATAAACACAAGAGACCTAGATGGCATCGACAGCACTATAATCAAAAACAATTGGGGCAAAGTAGATGAAAGGTAATCTACTAGGATTGAGAGTAGCAATTAGGAAGAACAAAACTGCCTTTGCAAAATATGGAAGCAACGGGTTTATATTTGCAACAAGTAGCAAAATTCACAACGCCAAGGTGACTACCCCAAAGATGAAGCTGCATAAATCAATTGCAAACTTGAAATATGACATGGACAGATAATGTCTGCTGCTAAACCACCAGGGGACAGTAGAAGATTTCATTTGAAAGTTCAGAAAATTACTGAAGTTTTCCCAAGAACAGAGCATCTCCTGTTGGCATCCTTTTAAAACTTAAATGTTTTATGGGGGCTGGGACACTTTATTACTATGTGACATGAGCTACTTTCTGATTGTTAGCTCACTGAAAAGCCTGCATTAAGAAGCTGTATGTCTTCAAATTTACCAAACTAGCTGGGCTTTTGGAGTCAAATTCTCCAGAAACCTGTTGTACATAACTCGCATGTCTTTTATTCAGCTGTTCATGATAAATAATAGACAACTTGCAGAAACATGTGGAAACCAACAAATATGTTGGATGGGTTGGCCCTTCCTTCTTTCCTTCTATCTGAAAGTTTGTGAAGATTTCCAAAACCACATCAAAGATATGTTAAGGTAGGTGGCATTTGATAATAGCAATAGCATTTAGACTTATATACCGCTTTATAATGCTTTACAGCCCTCTCTAAGTGGTTTACAGAGTCAGCCTATTGCCCCTAACAATCTGGGTCCTCATTTTACCCACCTCGGAAGGATGGAAGGCTGAGTCAACCTTGAGCCTGGTGAGATTCAAACTGCCAAATTACAGGCAGCCAGCAGTCAGCAGAAATAGCTTGCAGTACTGCACTCTAACCACTGCACCACCGAGGCTCATAATATCAAAAAGGATCTCAAATCATACGATCAAATGTGGTGTTTGGGGGTTTAATGGTCCACTCCACCAAATCAGCTGGAACAACAATCTCAAAAACATTTAAGCAACATTCTGGACAAAATAATAGATTCCCATCAATCAGTGAAGTCAGCATTCTTGAATTTTAAAGACATGGATCATGTTAGATGTAATTAATAGAAGAGCATTTGAGAGAGAGGGGGGAAAAAAGAAGGAATCCATCCTCGCAAAATCATTGTCTGTGATCTTTGTGACCGAGTGGACGCTGTGACACAATCTGCCACATCATTCTCATAAAAATAAGGGGCCAAAGAAAACTTATAAACGACTGGAGTTTGGCTGCTGGACAGCAGGTGGCAGCATCTAGCTGATCTACAGAAGTCACATCCTTAGTTTGCAAATTAAAACAATAAGTTGTTTTTTCTTTTAACTCTGACAATTATTAGTGTAATACTTTCTCTTTTTCCTCTGGTGCCATTCCTTACACAAATCACCGCATCGCCTGTCACATCATTCCAAGCCCTTATACTCAGTCTTCCATCATTTATAATTGGTTAGAATCTTTGAAGAAGGCCATAAATGTCTATTAGGCTTCTTGATGGCCACTGATATCTTGTCTCAATGATATAATGCACAAAATTTCAGATAAAGGCAGTATTAGCCTTAGTAAGACCACTCCTAGAGTACTGCATCCAGTTTTGATCACCACACTATAAAAAAGATGTTGAGACTCTAGAAAAAGTGCAGAGAAGAGCAACCAGGATGATTAAGGGACTGGAGACTAAAACATGTGAAGAACGGTTGCAGGAACTGGGCTTGGCTAGTTTAGTGAAGAGAAGGACCAGGGGAGACATGATAGCAGTCTTCCAGTATTTGAGGGGCAGTCACAGAGAGGAAGGGGTCAAGCTATTTTCCAAAGCACCTGAAAGCCAGACAAGGAATAATGGGTGGAAACTGAACAAGGAGAGATTCAACCTGGAAATAAGGAGAAATTTTCTGACAGTGAGAACAATCAACCAATGGAACAGCTTGCCCTCGGAAGTTGTGGGAGCCCCATCACTGGAAGCTTTCAAGAAGAAATTGGACTGCCATCCATCAAAAATGGTATAGGGTCTGCTTGGACAGGAGATTGGACTAGATGACCTACAAGATCCCTTCCAACACTGTTAATCTGTATCCACTTGGTTTTTTTTTAAGTCTTACTTATACTTCAGCTGAGTAGCTATTGAATTGTCTTAGATAGAAGTCTGATGTAATATGATGCTTGACTGGGAAAATTAAGAGTTTGCCGCTTGTTGCCAATCAGCAGTGGCAGGATGTGGATGGTCCTTAGCATATAGTTATCATTGCTTATCTACTATGCCCTCCATCACAGCTGCTTTTCCCAGAAGACAGCAAACATGCCTGGAAATCTTAACTGGGGAACAGATGTTCACTAATGAAGTCAACAGAGGAATTTAGCATGCTTGTTCACCCAACCAGATCTTCGTGAAAACTTTTGCTTTGATGGCACTTCAAGCTGTTCAGGCAACACTAGCTGTCTTACTGAGCTGCAGCAGTAATGCAATTTGCATCATGAAAAGGCTTTATATTGCCTTGGGGAAGCGGGTGGGGTGGACTCTTCCTGGCAGACCCAAACTGAGAGGGGCTTCTTGCACAGATGCCAAGGCTTATTCCAGTTGGGTGAAAGTAGAGGAAGGTGTCCCTGGAGGGATATGAAACAAGCAATGGGACAGTTTTCCTTTGTTCTTTAGAAGGTGTGCTGCGTTGCTTCACGGAGTAGCTTCAAAGAGAGCACCGCTCAGAGCAAAACACCCCTTCAATGCTTTGTACGGTCCAACTACCTACTATTTCCTTTACAGATCTGTATATTTGTACTCCAGTTTTAGAGTGAAGGCAGTTTCACACCCTTTCGTTCCTTAGTGAACATTGATTAGGCAAGTTTAGAACCTAACTGACGTGTAAATTCACATTTCCTATTAAGTTGCTCTGAATGTTACGCATTGTGGACTTTCTTCCTTACTAATGCTGCCTTCTCAAATCTGGTGGCTTGGCAACATGTTAAATTACAATTCCCAGTCCTGCTTGTTAAGGATTATGGGATTTATTGTCCGGCACATCTGGAGGACATCAACTTGGAGAAGACCTGTATCGGAGTATACATGTTTTGATTGCTCATGAAAATGAAGGGATAAATCAAGGAAGACTGTTTTGGATCAATTATTGCTGACTTTTACTGCAATATGGGTATCATATAACTAATGTTGGTCTAAGCAGATCCTGATGGGAGCAGGGAAGAAAAACAAAAAGCATCCATTTCCATTTTTAGATCAAACCCCTCACATTTGCATTTATGATATATGAGAACCAGGCATTTTAACTCTGGCCAGGCAATTTTTCCTTCACCTTTTGTGAATGTTAGCCAAAATGGTAAGATGCTTTTTTTTTTTTTTTTTTAAAAAGGACAGTAATATATTTAAATTGTATGGGCTCAATATAAATTTCAGTTGAATAAATAACATATGGGCATGAAATCAGGCTAGCTTTTCAAAGAGTCCTAAGATGTAAAAGAAGAGAAAGGAACGTGCCAAACCTCAACATTGACCCCAGATAGATTCGATGTGTGTCAGCCAGCCAGGCTTTCTGAGGAAAAAAAATATCAATCCTATTCCCCCCAAAAGTGCAGGAAGACAAGAAATCATCAGCCGATTTGAGTGGTCAAAGGAGAGACTTTTGCTCAGAGTCAAATTCCAAGGAGTCCTTCTGAGGTAAATTTCGACTGAGTTAGGCCTTTGTGCGTGATGGAAATAAGACACGGGCTATCTGCTTGTGGTTACTCAAATGGCAACAGAAGACAGATCCCTTTGACATTAAGTAAGTCTGCCCAGGGCTGTGGTTTTCATAACAATGCGTTATTTTAAGTAACAAAGTGCCCTATGTCAAAATTGACCCCAAAGTATTTCCATGCCTACCTTCAGGCTACCTACTGTCTGGCTTTTTCCCCTTATGGCAAGGGTGGAAAAAGCACATTCAGAAACAAGAGACGGAGAAGTAAAGAGGAAACCAGATCAACTCAGCTGCCACATCAAATGGGTGCAAAGTGAAAGAGGTTTGTTCTTGAAACGAGGTTTGTTGACTAGGTGTGGACTGGCCTACCGAAGAAAAGGATCGGGGGTATGTGTGACATGATAGCCCGCTTCCAATACTTGAAGGGCTATCACAGAACAGAGGGGGCCGGTTTATTCTCCGAAGCATCAAAGGGCAGGACAAGAAGCAATGGGTGGAAGCGATCCAACCTGGAAATAAAGAGGAATTTCCTGACGGTGAGAAGGGATTCATTAATGGATGGAATAGTTTGTCTTCCAGAGTTGTGGGAACTTCATTGTGGAAGGTTTTGGGGAAAAGGTTGGACAACCATTTGTCTGGGATGATGTAAGGTAGGGGGTTGAAGTAGAAGCCCACCGAGTTCCCTTCCAGTCTTATGACTCTATAGTTCTATGAAAAGGTTGGGAATGGATTTTTTTTAAAAAAAGTTTGAAGTGTCACCAGAGCGATCCAGACACATAACAAGCAACTGAGTCATTTGTTGGCTTTTGAAATTAATGCGGCAATTCATGCAGAGAGCCAGTGTGGTATCTTGACTAAGGTGTTGCTTGGTGTCCTGAAGACTCAGGTTGTAATCCTGCTCAGGCACCGGTGCTCCCAGGGAGGGATGTACTTTCCCCTCAATCTCAACTATTTTGTATGGGTGCTTTTTTAGAATTAGAATAACAGAGTTGGAAGGGGTCTCGGAGATCTTCTAGTCCAACCCCCTGCTTAGGCCTAGACCATTTCAGACAACTGGTTATCCAATCTCTTCTTAAAAACCTCCAGTGAGCATTTGTTAAGATGAACATCTGACCGTTACCTTAGGGCCAGCAGATCCTGGAAGTCCAGGTGTTCCTGGTAGGCCTGCCTCACCCACTTCACCCTAAGGAAAAGATGCAAGAAAATGTAGTAACAAAATAATAATAATAATAATAATAATAATAATAATAATAATAATAATAATAATAACAACAACAACAACAACAACAACAACAATTTGCAAAAGTCACCAGATATCAGGACTTGAGAATCGAACTGCAGAGACTCTGGCATAAAGCAGTGTAGGTGGTTCCAGTGGTACTCGGCACACTGGATGCTGTGCCTAAAGACCTAGGCAAGCACTTGAAAACAATTGGCGCTGACAAAATCCCCATTGGTCAGCTGCAGAAGGCCACCTTACTGGGATCTGCTCGCATAATCCACCGATACATCACGCAGTCCTCAACACTTGACAAGTGTTCAACTAGTGATTTGTGATACGAAACCCAGCATGGTTTGCTCTGTATACTGTCATTTTTGTGTATAATAATAATAATAATAATAATAATAATAATAATAATAATAATAAT